CTCCTCCTCATCCTCCTCCTCCTCCTTCTCCTCGTCCTCCTCCTCCTCCTCCTCTTCCTGCTCCTCCTCCTCCATTCCTTCTCCTTATAAATAAGTCCTCCCTGTCGCACCCCGAGGCCAGTTTTTAGGGCGGGCCGGGCGTTTCGCCTCAGGCTTCCCCACCATGTATGATTCTGAAACATAAAAATGACAATAGTTTCACAAATGGAGGGCGGGCCGTTTTCAAAACGTGGCTCTCGCCTTAGCGCCGAGCACATTCGCTTTCAAAATTGCAAGAGTTCCACGGATTGAAGGCGGTTCCTTTTCAAAATGTGGCTCTCGTCTTAGCACCGCGCACATTCGTTCTAAAAATTGCAAGAGCTTCACGGATTGAGGGCGGGTGGTTTTCAAAATGTGGCTCTCGCCCTAGCGCCGCGCACATTCGTTTTAAAAACTTGCAAGACTTAAACGGATTGAGGACGGTTCCTTTTCAAAAGGTGGCTCTTGTCTTAGCGCCGCGCAGAATCGTCTTCAAAAGTTGCAAGAGTTTCACGGATTCCCATGCCCAACGTACCAGAACTTGCGTCTTGGAAAAAAATCAAGACTATCCAGGTGCAACACTGATGTTGATTCGTGTTGGAATTCAAAAAATGGGGCTCTGGCACGATTCCGGATCGTCAGGATGCACCAGTCAGATTGATACGTGGCGTTGCAATCCCGAGAACAATGTTTTGGCATACTTCAGGATCTTCAAACGGTTATCTTCCAACGAGGCAGTTCCCTCAATGGACATGAACGGTTGTGGGGGTCTGTGAAGAGGGAGCTTGGAGGGAGGGTGAATTCCAACATCGTTGGTGACTCTTGGTTCTACACTGGTCCTCCTCCTCCTCCTCCTCCTCCTCCTCCTCCTCCTCCTCCTCCTCCTCCTCCTCCTCCCTCCTCCTCCTCCTCCTCCTCCTCTCCTCCTCCTCCTCCTCCTCCTCCTCCTCTCCTCCTCCCTCCTCCTCCTCTCCTCCTCCTCCTCCTCCTCCTCCTCCTCCTCCTCTCCTCCTCCTTCCTCCTCTCCTCCTCCTCTCCTCCTCCTCCTCCCCCTCCCCCTCCCCCTCCCCCTCCCCCTCCTCCTCCTCCTCCTCCTCCCTCCTCCTCCTCCTCCTCCTCTCCTCCTCCTCCTCCTCATCCCTCCTCCTCCTCCTCCTCCTCCTCCTCCTCCTCCTCCTCCTCCTCCTCCTCGAGACCTACCAGCTGGTCCTCGTGGAGCACCAGCTGCGCCAGGCGCGGCGGCAGACTGAGGCCCAGGCTCTGGGCCGCCTGCGGGGCGCCCCACCGCGGGTCGCGCACGAGCCGACCGGGCAGGCCCGCGAGCCCAGCCGCGCCGCCGTCGACGTCAAACGGCAGCGTCGAGGCGCGCAGGATCCGGCGGCGGGCCCAGGGGGGGAGGAGCCCGGGGAGGGCGCGGGCCTTCTCGGAGGGCTCGGGAGGCCTCCCGCCTCCTCACAAAAGGCGTCCTGGGCTCTGTCCGAAGACACCACTGATGGCTCAGAAGGCCGGCGGGTCTCTGAGAAGCCCCGCCGCCTTCTGAGAAGGCCAGCCCGCGCTCACTTCGCCGATGGGCTCGCCGCCGAGTGGTGGCAGAAGAAAACCAAACGGCATAACTGTCAGGAACTGCTGCTTAGCGTCACGTCACGGCGGCCCTGGCGACACGCTGTGCCCTGCAGGTGGATGGGATGTCGCTTCGCTCCACATGGCGGCAGGCTGAGACAACTCGGGACGTTGACGCTTGGGAATGGGAGCGTGGACAGCACATCGCGCCGAAGCGTGGTGGGCCAAAACTGGCGGTGCGACATGCTAAACCAAAATTCCTGGCCGCAAACACAACTCTCGGATGTCCGCACAGATTTCTTGGACCTGCAGAGCGCGCTGGGGGCGGCGACGGAGGTGCCGCCAGGAGGGGTGCCCGCGCCGATCCAAGAAATCCGCGCGGAGATCTGAAAAAACAAGTGTATGTCGTTTGTTCTTCTTGGAATGGGACTGCCAGCGCCGCTGCCCACCTCGGCGTGCTCCCGGAGCACGTCGGCGAGGACAAAGTTCGCCCGCACCTCGCCTGGCACGAAGGCCTGCCGGCACGTCGGGCACGACGCCGTGGAGCCCGACGCGGCCGCGGCCTCGCAGACCTGCCGGACGCAGGCGGCGCAAAAGGTGTGGCCACACCCAGGCAGAACTTGGGGCTCCTAGAGAGGAAGTAAAAACTGCATGAGCATAAACTTTCGAAGCTCCGCGTGGTTTTCTTGGATCGGCGCTGGACCTCCCGGCGGCGCTTCCAGCGCCGCCCCTGGCGCGCTCCGCACGCCAGAGGCGGGAGTCAGCGCCGATTCAAGCAGTCCGTGCGGACCTCGGAAAGTGTATTTGGATGCCCTTCTGCTCACCCTTGAAACTTTACGCCAGCACGGGCATAGGACGGCGACGCTCTCCGTTAACCCGCCCCTGTTTGCACCCTCCACCTGGTCGCTATCTGGCGACCTAACGTCTACTGCGCTAAAGTTGGGGTTCCAAAACGGTGCGGTTCTTGCTTCTTCGGGCTCCTGGAACTGCTCCAAGCAAACGGGGCACTGCAGGAGGTCGCTCGGCATCCCGCGAGGGACTCGCCGCCGCCGGCAGCTCCGAGGCTCGGCCTGGGGGGCACACCTGAGGACCACCGAGAGGGTTCTGGGCGTTCACCAGGCTCGAGCTCATCCCTGCCCCTAAGATTGGCAAGCCCAAAGCGATGACACTGTCAGGGATGCGCCTCAGAAACTGAGGAAATCCTTTGGATTGGCAACGAGGTAAGGGGGCGCCAATCATATGTGTAGGGATACGCTCCAGGCTGGCGAGGTGCGGGCCCTACGGGCAGCCGCCGCACGGCCCGCGGCTTCGAGTCGCGGCCCCAGCCGATCGCCCCAGCGCGGCGGCCCTGGTCGCCTCCACGAGGGCCGACTCCGCCCGCCCTGGGCCGCCTGCCGCGGCCCACTTCCGGGGCTGGGCGCGGCTCGAGGTGGAGCTTGAGCCAGGCTGCGGTTACGACCTGCTTCCAGCCAGGCCGACCTCTGGGGCGGACATTCGGGCGGTCAAAGGCGGTGCACGGCCCGGGCTTGCACCACTGGGCCTCGCGGGAGGAGGGATGGAGAGGAAGACAGGGAAGGCGGAGGGGGGGGAGAAAGAAAGGAGACAAGGGGAGCAAAACAAATCGCGACGCTTCGGCGGATTACGACAGGGTACGGTCACAATGTTTCACTGCACCAACCTTGCAGACGTGCTGCAGCGGATTTTCGCGTGGATTCTTGTCAGCGCAAGACCCCGAAACCTCGGGCGACAAACGGAGTGAATTTCACGTGGACTTGCTGTAGCCTTCATTCCCGGCCAAGAAAAATCCGCCCGAAAATTCACATCGAAATCCGGAACGAAACTCTCCAGGACAAGCCGGGCCCACCCAATAGCTTTCCAAACGAAGTCCGCTCTGCCAAGCTGGCGCCATGAAACGTTCCAGCCCGCTTCAGCATGGAAAGCCGCAAAAGAACCTCGGACCCCGGGGGAGGCCACCGCACCGGTGTGGGGGGGGGTCTCACCCTTTTCTTTGCCCCCCCAAGGGGGCAGACGCGCGGAGCCGGGCGCCCGCAGGCCTCCCGGGGACACCCTCCGCGAGTGATCCGCGAAACACCACAAGGCGACGGTTAGATCGGGCATGTCCCCTACAGGCGGATTTCGGACGAAAATCTGAAGCCAGAAAAAACCAAATAACATAAAAATTGTTCAACAATAGTCCAAAAAAGAATCCAACAATCGTCCGCTGACTGTTGTTGACTGTTCTTGACTACGAATCACCCTGTAGAGGGACACGCCCGCCTTGAGGCTGCGGCCACGCGCACGCAGCGCTCCCCCCGTGGCGTGATGGGCCATCGCACGCGCGCGCGCGCGCGCACGCGCGCACGCCGCCCCGGCAGTGCGCCGAACGTCGGGGGCCTTTTGTCGAGCACCGCGGCTGCCGAGGCCCGCCCACTGCCGCCAGGGCCGCGCGCGGCCGCCGGGGCGGCCCGCGGGGTGTCGCCACGGCCAGCGGGGCCGCTTCCGGGTCTCTGGCTGTGGCCCGAGGCGGAGCTGCCATTCACCTGCACCAGGCGGGAGGATGCGCCCTCCTCCCTGCTGTGTTGTGTTGTGTTGTGCTACGGTGTGCTTTGACGTGTTGTGTTGGGTTGCGGCATGTGTTGTTAAGTGGTGTCAGGTGTTGATGTGTTCTGGTGTGCTGTGACGTGTTGTCATATTGCATGCGAGGGTATGTTGTGCTGTAGTACGATGCTGATGGTGATAATGATGATGGTGGTGGTGATGGTGGTGAGGATGGATGAAAATGTAATGATGATGAGGAGGAGGAGGAGGTTGAGGATGATGATGATGATGATGATGATGATGATGGTGAAGATGATGATGATGATGATGATGATGATGATGATGATGATGATGATGATGATGATGATGATGATGATGATGATGATGATGATGATGATGGTGATGATGATGATGATGATGCTGATGCTGATGCTGATGATGATGATGCTGATGATGAGGATGATGATGATGAGGATGAGATGATGATGATGATGATGATGATGATGATGATGATGATGATGATGATGATGATGATGATGATGATGATGCGCCCTCCTCCCCCCCTGCCAGGCTCCATCCACTGGGACTCCATCGCCTCCTCCATCTCCTCGGGGCCCTTGTCCTCCTTGTGCTCCTTCCTCCTCCTCGCTCCTCTTCTGTTCTCTTCCCCCCTTGGAGGCCTCCAGAAGGTTCTGGAAGCCCTCCCCCCCAAAAAAACGAATCAAAACAACGTAGCGAACAATAGATCCTTGATCCTTGGGGATCGGAGATCGAGGCAAACTCACGGTGGGGCCACGAGACGTGTCGGTACGGACTGAGACTTGCGGATGGTGCAGGGGTCACGCGCACAGTCGGGAAAGCCAATTCCTGTGCGGCTTCATTCAACGATCACGGGACGGTTCTCGCAGCCGAGCTCAATGGCAGGGCTATCCCGATGTACTGTACTCCACACAATGGCGAACAGCATAAAAGAAGCGGCGGAGAAGAGGCGAGGGACGGAATACAGAGGGTGTACAAAAAGGATAGCACCAAAGAGGGAGGAGGGAAATGTCTGCAACAGAGAGGGGGGAGGGAGAAGGAGGAGGCGACCGAGACGGACGACGACAGATGCGACCACGACAGACGACGACAGCAGCAGCATGGAGGAGGGAGGAGGATGTGTAGCAGGAATTCCTGCATATCCACCGCCTGCGAGAGCGATGTCCTAGGACCCCAAGATGCCCCAGGCGAAGGAGCAGGAGGAATTACAGAAGGACCACAAACGGCGTAGGCATAAGCTTGTGGACGTCCACGCGGATTTCTTTGGTCGGCGCTTGCGCCTCCAACGCCGCCTCCAGCGCACTCCGCGCGCCACGGAAGACTTGCGGGTAAGGGGTCCAGAGCCGACACAAGAAGTCCGCGCGGACGTTCAACAGCTTGTGCTGATTTCGCTGTTCGATCTAAAGCAAAATGTTTCACCATATCCTAAAGATGGGGTTCTTGTTATTACACCGACCGCGCCGACTCCTCCTTCTCCTCCTACTCTTCCTCACCCATGTTATATTCAGGTATGGTATGGTATGGTATGGTATGTTACGTTATACTATGGTACGGTATATTACGGTATGAGATGGTAGGCTATGGTATGACATTTAATGCAATGGTATGAAATGATGTGGTATAACATGATATGGTATGAGATGCGATGGCATGATATACAATGCTATGTTACGGTATGGTGTGTTATGGTATGGTTTGGTAGATGTTGGTTTGATATGGTATAGCGTGTTATGGTATGTCGTGTTTTTGTATTCAGAATGTGGCAAATTATGTTATGTCATTCTCCACGTCCAGGAAAGATTGGGTTCCTGCTCCCCATATCCAATGGGTGGGACTCCAGTTACTATGCATGTCCAAAGGATGGGGTGCTTGCTATTCCCCATGTCCAAAGAATGGGGTTCCCATATGCAACGGATGGGGTTCTTGATGATACGCCGACCGCGCCCACTCCCACACACCCCTCCCTCCTCCTCCTCCTCCTCATGTTATGTTATGGTATGGTGACCTGTGTTATGCCTTGTCATGCTATACTGTGATATATGGTGGTATGTTTTGTTATGGCGTGATATGATGTGAAATGGCATGTTATGCTATGTTGTGTTGCGATCTGAAACGTTGTGGTATGCTATGACACGCTACATCAAATTCACGAAGGGATGATGATGGAGGTGATGATGATGCTGACAGTGATGATGACGATGGCCTCCGCGTCCTGGATCCATCTCACAAGGATTGGGTTGGTATGTTATGGTATGGTGCTGTATGTTTGGCCATGTTACGGTACGTTACGATAGATCACAGTATAATAAGATGATGGCGATGATGATGATGATGCTGATGGTGATGCTGATGATGGCAATGATGATGATGCTAACTATGATGCTGATTATTATGATGATGATGCTGATGATGATGCTCATCATGGCGGAGCAAAGTCTGAGGATGCCTCAAGCGGGGCGCGGGTTTCAGCATCCCCAAGGGGGCGGGGGGGGCGCAAAGAGGTACCTCACTCCTCCGTTCGCGCCAAACTGGCGGGGATGTCTCGAGCGATTTGCCTGCTTGCCAACGCAGCATCTTCCGCTTTCAGAGCAGACGTTGAGCATGTCTCGAGAGAGGCGCTGACGTCGCATCCCCAAGGGGTAGCCGCCATGGGGTATGTCATTCCTCCAGTCGCGCCAAAATGGCGGGGATGTCTCGAGCGGCCTGCCTGTTTGCCAGCGCAACATCCTCCGCTGCCGGAGCAATGTTAAAGGATGTCTCGAGCGAGGCGCTAGTTCTCGCACCCCTGGTCGTCCAGATGGGGATCTGGTTCCCCATACCCAAAAATCATGGGGTTCCTGTTCCCCATATCCACAGGATAGGGTTCTTGTTATTACTCCCATCGCGCCAACTCCCACACACCCCTCCCTCCTCATGCTATGTTATGGCATTGTATGGTATGTTACGCTATGCTATGCTATGCTATGTTATGCTACGTGTTGCTGTAGTGTGTTATGATATGCTATGGTGTACTATGATACAGACATGTTCTGTTCCCCATATCCAAAAGATGGGGTTCTTGCTATTACTCCGACCTCGCCGAGACTCACACCTTGTTCCGTCACCCTTGCCTTTTATCACGTTATGCCAGGCCATGCCATGGAATGTGATGGTATGATATGCTATGTTATGGTATAGTATGATATGGCATGGTATGGTGTGGTATGTTATGCTATGTTGCGGTGTGGTATGGTACGTTAATGTTTTGATGGTAAGCTATAATGTGCTATGGTAGGGTGTGATGATGGTGATGGTGGTGATGGTGGTGATGATGGTAATGATGATGATGATACTGATACTGATACTGATACTGATGATGATGATGATGATGATGGTGATGGTGATGGTGATGGTGATGGTGATGGTGATGATGATGCTGATGATGATGATGATGATGATGATGATGATGATGATGATGATGATGATGATGATGATGATGATAGCGGAACAAGGTCTGAGGATACCTCGAGCGAGGCGCGGGTTTCAGCACCCCAAGGGGGAACCGCCAGTGGGTATCTCACCCCTCCGTTCGCGCCAAAATGGCGGGGATGGATCGAGCGGTTTGCCTGTTTGCCATCGCAATATCCTCCGCTTTCGGAGCAGACGTTGAGGATGTCTCGAGCGAGGCGCTGATTGTTGCCCCCAAGGAGGGCCAGATTTTGAAGATGCCTGGATCGGGTGGCATGTTTTGGTGGCCAGACTCGTGGGCACAGATCCCCCCTTGATGCCACAGGAGGCTCCAGCAGACTCCAGGAGGCACCAGGAGACCACAGGAGGTCCCAGGAGGCAACAGGAGGCCATGGAAAGGCTCAAGAGGCCACAGGATGTCCCAAGAGGCTCCAGGAGGCCGCAGGAAGCTCCAGGAGGCATCAGGAGGCTCCAGGACGCTCCAGGAGGCCACTGGAGGCCACAGGAGGCCCCAGGAGGCCCCAGGAAGCACCAGGAGACACCGGGAGGCCCAGGAGCAGGAGGCCTCAAAAGGCCATATAGATTGGGCCTCACCTGAGGCACGAATCCTTGGCGTTTTACATATATTTCTATGGATGGTCCGTCTCCTGCGCTTCCAATTCTAAGTGTTTTTACGTATGTTCCTGCAGATTGGGCCTCCCCTGGGGCACGAGTCCTTGGTGTTATACATGTGTTCCTATCGAGTGCCCTTCTCCTGCGGCTCCAATCCGCAATGTTTTATGTACGTCTGTTCCTATATATTGGGCCTCTCCTGCGGCACGAATCCTCCCCGGGAGGTCCCAGGAGGCCCCAGGAGGCTCCAGGAGGCCCTGGGAGGCCCAGGCTCATGCGCAGAGACGCGCTCGTACTACTGAGACTCATTCGCACTCCAACTCAGTCACAGTCAGATTCACTCCCAGATCGTCAATTCTCAAGCCCGCTTATGTTCGAAAACTCTTGCGCCTGGACACTCACGACGAACGGGCCCATGCTAATAGATGCACATATGGGGAGCTCCACGCAATGAATAATTACCGACCGCGCCGGCTCACACCACTTCCCTCCCCCTCTCTTTTCTCATGATATGTTATATTATGTCATGGCATGTTGGGCTATGGTATGTATTGTTACGCTAGGCTATGTTATGGTATATGATGTTATGGTATGGTATGGTGTTATTTGCTATGGTTTGCGATGTTGTGTTAGGATGTGCTATGGTATGTCACGGTATGATGATGATGATGATGATGATGATGATGATGATGATGATGACGATAGAGGTGATGATGATGACAACGATGATGATGGTGGTGGTAATGACGATGATGACGATAGCGGCGATGATGATGATGATGGTAATGCTGATGGTATTGATGATGATGACGATGATGATGCTGATGATGATGCTGATTATGATGATGATGGTGATGATGACGATGATGATGCTGATGATGACGATGATGCTATAATGATGATGATGATGATGATGATGATGATGCTGATGATGATGATGATGATGGTGATGGTGATGATGGTGATGATGATGTCGATGCTGATGATGGTGCTGATGATGGTGATGCTGATGATGATGATGTTGATGATAGTGATGGTGATGATGATAATGATGATGTCGGAGCAACTGTTGAGGATGTCTCGAGCGAGACGCGGGTTCCGGTACCCCCTAAGGAGGAGCCGCCAGGGGGGATCTCACTCCTCCGTTCGCGCCAAAATGGCGGGGATGTCTCGAGCGGCTTGCCTGTTTGCCAGCGCAACATCCTCCGTTGCCGGAGCAGATTTGGAGGGTGTCTCGAGCGAGGCACTGGTTCTCGCACCCATGGTGGCCCAGACTGCGAAGAAGTCTCGCTATTTTGCTGGCCAGACTCGTGGGCACGGATCCTCTTCCGGATGGCACAGGAGGCTCCAGCCCGCTCCAGGCGGCCCCAGGAGGCCACAGGAGGCCCCAGGAGGCTCCAGGAGGCCCCAGGGAGCACCAGGAGGCCCCAGGAGGCAACAGGAGGCCACAGGAGGTCCCAGGAGGCATCAGGAGGCCACAGACGGCACAGGAGGCCCCGGGAGGCCGCAGGAGGCCCCAGGAGGCCCCAAAAGGCTCCAGGAGGCCCCAGGAAGCACCAGGAGGCCCCAGGAGGCCACAGGAGGCCACAGGAGGCTACAGGAAGCGTCAGGAGACCCCGGAGGCCCCACGAGGACCCAGGAGGTTTCAAGAGGCCCTGGTGCCAGGAGGCCCCAGGCTCATGTGCAGAGACGCGCTCGTACTACTGAGAATCAATGCTCCCCAGGAGGCCGCAGGAGGCTCCTGGAGGCTGCTGGAAGCCCCAGCAGACCACACGAGGCCCCAGGAGACCTCAGGAGGCCACAGGAATCCCCAAGAGGCCCCGGGAGGCCCCAAGAGGCCCCAGGAGGCCCCAGGAAACCCCAAGAGGTTTCAAGAGGCCCCCGAAGGCCCCAGGCTACTACTGAGACTCATTCTACTCAAGCCCGCGCAGATTCGAACACTCTTGCGCATAGACACTCACGGCAGACAAGTCCCTGCTAATAGGTGCACATATGAGGAGCTCCACGCAGTGCATAATTCCCCATATCCAAAAAAACGGGGTGCTTGTTATTATTCCGACCGAGCCAGCTTCCTCACTCAGACCTCCCTCCCTCCTCACCGTCCATATCAGGTTGTGGTATGTTATGATATGACCTGTTATGAGTTGGTATGCCATGGTATGATGTGGTATGTGGTACTATGTTATGTTATGTGTTGGTACGGTGTGTACTGATATGTTATGCTACGTCAACTATGGTTCGATTTGGGCGGCGACGACGGCCTGGCACCACTGGTCTGGCAGCGACTTCTCTTCCTAGCATCGGCTGCACAACGTGGTCGCCCAGTCGCACTCAAGCGCGCCCCCCTGCACATCGGTTTTCAAAGACGGCGGGCACGCCGTCTGCACCGGCAGCGCGATTACGCTTCAGCCCGCGGGCGGCTCGCCACACCTCCGCTCGACTGATTGGGTCGTTGGAAATGTCGAGCTCCGGTTCCAGAGGGCCCTAATTACCCCCAATCGTTGTCGGACGCGCCGCCCACTGCACTTCGGAGAATTATTCCGCTAACGTCTCTGCTCTCTGGTCGCTGTCTACGAGGCGGCCATTGGAATTTCACGTTCCCATGGGCCGCGGCTGGATCGTTCTTCAGCTTCCTCACTCAGCCCTGTCGCCGTCGGCTAACCGACTGTCGAGCCTAGCTGTTCGATCTGCCTTGACCGATGCCTTGACTTGCGTGGTCAATATTTTCTCTCGCACGAAATCCTCGTCTGCCCTCGCTTCACCTCGTAGCGAGATGAGCTGCAGCGCCCCGTCGCCGATCCAAGGGCGCCGCCGCGCGGCCGAGAGCGCGGGCAAACAGCTTGCAGCAGCATGCTGGACAGTCTATGTGATGTTGTCGTTGAGCTGGTTAAGAGAGCCCTCCGGCGTTCTGGTCTCAGCCATGTGCTCCGCGAAACTGTCGCCGAATTTCTGAGGCACGGTGATGTCGGCCAGGTCTGCGCGGTCCAGTCGCTGCCCCCCCGTTTCGCGCCTCGCCTCTAAAGATGTATTGAGCTTGGAATTGAATAGATAGTGATGCGAAGATAAGGCTGCCACTCTGCGGCTCTCCACGTCCACCACGCTCGGCAGAAGATGTCGCGGGCATTACATGAAGTCGATCTGCCCGGAGTGTTGCGGCAGCAGCGGGTCGGAAGGGCGGGAGCCGACATTGTTGCACGTCACCTAATAATCTAAATCGTGCTCGAAAAATGCGTCTACGATGGTAAGCCCATGGCAGACGCAAAGTTCGAGTTAGAAATTATGGCTGGAATCGGCATTGAAATGCGCCGTAGGCTCACCAAAAATGAAATCACCAATGTGACCAGATTCCAAGGGAAACCGCCGGTGTATCCTTGCGCTGAAGTTCCCACATAACAAGCCCAGCTGTGTCCTGGTGTTCTGGAGACTATTGCGCCCAACTCTCGATAAAACTCTCGGCCATCGTCCACTGGCTACCCGCTGTGGGGGGCATATACGCTGAAGACTGTGCTTTTCCCTCCCTGGACACGCAGCTTCAAATAAGCAACCCTGGGAGATATCATATTGAATCCTATCAAGCTCTGGCGTGCTTTGGGAGACAGCAGGAAGCCAACTCCAGCAGTCTCGTCGTCTGGGCTCCGAAATAATATCACCAAGAATCCACGCTCAGAGGCGTAATATATTGACTCGTGTTTGTATGTCTCCTAGATTGCGGGCACGTCAATGTTCAACGACTCCATGTTGATCTGAAAATCCTCCAGCTTGGCTTCCGTCAGGCCCTCAACATTCCACGATCTAAATGCAACGTTTGTCGTGGTAGGAAATACACGTCCTCCACGGAAATCTGGGTCTCTACGTCGGGCTCCAGAAGGTGCGCAACCTTCATGTGTTCGTTGATCTATGGGTGCAGCGTCGCGCGGCCCACCTCGCAAGCCAGGGCCCCCACAGCCGCTGCCAGAAGACGTCGTGCATGGATATGTACATGTGGTCGGACAAGTTGCGGATTGATTTGTGTAAACGATTTGGGTTTATAGTTGCAGTATTGCCGACTGCGGATGAAACATCGCTGGTTTGATATTGTAATCCACGGCCGGGGCAACCCCGCCCGCCTCCCTTGTCGACCCCGTGCGTGCCCTTCGCGTTCCCCCCTTTCATGCCCTTCGAACACCGGGCCACGAGGTCGTTCGATTTCGCCAAGAGCTCCTTGATCTGGGCACCGCTGTGGAGGTCGTCCCACGTCGCCCAGCCCGCTTGCCAGTCGTAGCGCACGCTGTGGCCCTCCATCTCGACTGCAAGGGCGTGCCCCCCCCAACCTTCACAACATAGGGCGACTCCCCGTTGAAGGAGATATTGTACGGAACACCCCACCCCTCTTTGAAGATCCGTTTGAAACCCAGGCAGAAGTTGAAGGCCGCGCAGTCTGCTGACGAGCGGTCATGGTTCGCCCAAACCTTCTTGTCCCCACTCTTCAGGCCAGCACGTCGCGATAGATCTACTGCGTGATCTCGCAGGGTCGGGCTCCGGAACTCTGGAAATAACATGCCTTTTAAACTCTCATTTGCAATATGTCTTTGCGGGAACCGTCCCACCTAGAACAAAAAGTTATCCTGTAACCATTCCGTAGCTTTTCCTAACTGGCCCAAAGCGTCCAGATTTCCAAGCACTATGGTCACAGCACGCTTCCCGAAGGCATCCGAATGAGGTTTGATGATGTTTTCCCCCCCTGCCTTCCCTGGTTCGTCATGTATTCGTGGATGCATGCGCGGATGTTAGCCTCCATGGAGTCCAAAGCCGGAAGCGCAGTCTGCTCCAGGAACGTGCACAAGCGTTCCAGCTTGTTCACCCTGACGTCGTTCAGGTTGAAGCGCTCCTCCACGTGGGCCAAGCGTGCCCTCAGCGCCTCTTTCATCTCAGCGCACTCGTTACGGAGTCCAGCAACGGCCGAAGTGACTGGCGCGAGTTGCTGCTGAAGGAGGGTCGTCATGACAGCCATCGTAACCAGCTCCTGAGCTGAGATAAGCTCCTCCTCGTCATCCTCGTCTATCTCATCGTCCTCGTTCTCGGTCATGCGGACGTAGGCCGAATGAACATCTTCACGCCCAGCTCCTTCTCCAAGCAGGGGAGAGTGATGTCCTTGTCCGGTGCGCGCGAATTTCATCTTCTCCCACGGGTTCTGCGTGAGTACTTCGCCTACTGGAGCACCTGCGAGACGGGTGTTCTTACGTCCTAGCATTGGTGATGACACTTCGGGCATCGCGCTCTCAAGCCCTCCCTCGAGGTTCAAGGGGACCAGCATGTCACCATTCGAGCTGGCAGACATCATCAATGCTGCGAGACTGTAGCAAACAGAAGGCTCGATATCCCGAATCCCTCTTGATCCTTGAGCCGAAAAGGCTACGCGGAGGCTCGCATGGCATCGGCGGCTCGCATGACATCATTACCTAACAGCGAAGACTGATTGGTTTCTAGTAGTGTCAAAACAGACCATCATGACTCCCCAGGGGGGTCTGGGCGGGATCCGGACGGGATCCGGGGGAATCTGGGGACTCCTTTTCTAGCCAACAGTAACGCATTTCGTGGTCTTCGAGTTCCCAGAACTCCATTCCTGGGCATGATTTTGAATGCCTGGAGCCAACTGTAGGCCACTTCGTGCTCTTCGAGTTCCCAGAACTCCATTCCTGGGCATGATTTTGAATGCCCAGAGCCAACTGTAGGCCACTTCGTGGTCTTCGAGTTCCCAGAACTCCATTCCTGGGCATGATTTTGAATGCCCGGAGCCAACTGTAGGCCACTTCGTGGTCTTCGAGTTCCCAGAACTCCACTCCTGGGCATGATTTTGAATGCCCGGAGCCAACTGTAGGCCACTTCGTGTTCTTCGAGTTCCCAGAACTCCATTCCCGGGCCACATTTTAATGCTGAGGCAGGCTGGCTGAGGCTGAGGCAGGCTGAGGCAGGCTGAGGCTGAGGCCGAGGCTGAAGGCAGACTGAGGCTGAGGCTGAAAGGCAGGCTGAGGCTGAGGCTGAGGCTGAGGCTGAGGCTGAGGCTGAGGCAGGCTGAGGCTGAGGCAGGCTGAGGCTGAGGCTGAGGCTGAGGGACTGAGGCTGAGGCTGGCAGGCTGAGGCTGAGGCTGAGGCTGAGGCTGAGGCTGAGGCTGAGGCTGAGGCTGAGGCTGAGGCAGGCTGATGCTGAGGCAGGCTGAGGCTGAGGCTGAGGCTGAGGAGGGCTAAGGCAGGCTGAGACTGAGGCCGAGGCTGAAGGCAGACTGAGGCTGAGGCTGAAGCAGGCTGAGGCTGAGGTTGAGGCAGGCTGAGGCTGAGGCTGAGGCAGGCTGAGGCTGAGGCAGGCTGATGCTGAGGCTGAGGCATGCAGGCTGAAGCTGAGGCAGGCGGAGACTGAGGCCGAGGCTGAAGGCAGACTGATGCTAAGGCTGAAGCAGGCTGAGGCTGAGGCTGAGGCTGAGGCTGAGGCAGGCTGAAGGCAGATTGAGGCTGAGGCTGAAGCAGGCTGAGGCTAAAGCTGAGGCAGGCTGAGGCTGAGGGCTGATGCTGAGGCAGGCTGAGGCTGAGGCTGAGGCTCATGCAGGCTGAGGCTGAGGCAGGCTGAGGCGGAGGCCGAGGCTGAAGGCAGACTGATGCTGAGGCAGGCTGAGGCTGAGGCAGGCTGAGGCTGAGGCTGAGGCAGGCTGATGCTGAGGCAGGCTGAGGCTGAGGCTGAGGCTCATGCAGGCTGAGGCTGAGGCAGGCGGAGGCGGAGGCCGAGGCTGAAGGCAGACTGAGGCTGAGGCTGAAGCAGGCTGAGGCTGAGGCTGAGGCAGGCTGAGGCTGAGGCTGAGGCAGGCTGATGCTGCAGGCTGAGGCTGAGGCAGGCTGAGGCTGAGGCAGGCTGAGGCTGAGGCCGAGGCTGAAGGCAGACTGAGGCTGAGGCTGAAGCAGGCTGAGGCTGAGGCTGAGGCAGGCTGAGGCTGAGGCTGAGGCAGGCTGATGCTGAGGCAGGCTGAGGCTGAGGCTGAGGCTGATGCAGGCTGAGGCTGAGGCAGGCTGAGGCTGAGGCCGAGGCTGAAGGCAGACTGAGGCTGAGGCTGAAGCAGGAGGCTGAGGCTGAGGCAGGCTGAGGCTGAGGCTGAGGCAGGCTGATGCTGAGGCAGGCTGAGGCTGAGGCTGAGGCTGATGCAGGCTGAGGCTGAGGCAGGCTGAGGCTGAGGCCGAGGCTGAAGGCAGACTGAGGCTGAGGCTGAAGCAGGCTGAGGCTGAGGCTGAGGCAGGCTGAGGCTGAGGCTGAGGCAGGCTGATGCTGAGGCAGGCTGAGGCTGAGGCTGAGGCTGATGCAGGCTGAGGCTGAGGCAGGCTGAGGCTGAGGCCGAGGCTGAAGGCAGACTGATGCTGAGGCTGAAGCAGGCTGAGGCTGAGGCTGAGGCAGGCTGAGGCTGAGGCAGGCTGAGGCTGAGGCTGAGGCAGGCTGAGGCTGAGGCTGTGACTGCGACTGCCGTTGCCACTGCGACTGTCATCGCGAATACGACTACGACTGCGAGAACAGCAGAATTCTGCAACTGCATTATCATCTGAATCTTAAGGGGAATGCTTCCAAATATTCCCCTACACATCGCTGTTAGGTTGCTTTGCCGGGATAAGTTTCTCTTCACAGGCTCGCCTGGTATCGCAGGCTGGTTCAAGTTCAGGCTGCGCAGCAGCTGCCCCCGCCTGCGCAAAACAGGTACTTCAGCGACACGGCGAAGGGAAGGCTGCTGGAGGCTGGGCCAGGCTGCGCAGAAGCTGCCCACGCCCACGCGAAAAAAGTACTCGAGCGACACGGCGACGTAAAGTTGCTGGTTCCCAGAGAACGGTGATGGAATATGCGCCCACAGCGACCGCTTCAAAGGTTCCAGACCTGCCCAACGCAGAGAAAACAAACGACTGCGGGCCGCTGGCAAAACTCAGCAGAACGCGCTGCAAGCAGACAGGGAACACAGCTTTAAGGGATGCAAAATGCAACCGCAGCACATCTGTTGGATCGTTGGGGAGAGCTGTAGTGAAGAAACAAAGGCCAAATCGATGATGCTGATAATGATAATGATGATGATGATGATGAGTATGATGATGGTGCTGGTGGTGATGATGATGCTGATGCTGATGTTGATGCTGATGCTGATGATGATGATGATGATACTGATGATGATGATGCTGATGATGATGATGGTGGTGATGATGATGGTGATGGTGATGCTGATGCTGATGATGATGCTGATGCTGATGATGATTATGATGATGATTATGATGATGGTGGTGGTGGTGGTGATGATGATTATGATGATGATGATGAATGATGAATGATGGATGATGGATGATGAATAATGATAATGATGATGATGATGATGATGATGATGATGATGATGATGATGTTGATGTTGGTGATGATGATGATGATGACGATGATGATTATGTTTACGATGATGATGATGATGATGATGATGATGATGATGATGATGATGATGCTGATGATGCTGATAATGATGCTGATGATGATGATAATGATGATGATGATGATGATGGTTGTGGTGGTGATGATGATGATGGTGATGATGATGATGATGATGATGATGATGATGATGATGATGATGATGATGATGATGATGATGATGATGATGATGATGATGATGATGATGATGATGATGATGATGATGATGATGATGATGATGATGGCGGAGCGAATTCTGAGGATGTCTCGCGCGAGGCGCGGGTTTCAGCACCACCAAGGAGGAGCCACCAGGGGGTATCTCACTCCTCCGTTCGCGCCAAAATGGCGGGGATGCCTCGAGCGGTTTGCCTGTTTCCATGCCCAACATCCTCCGCTTTCGGAGCAGATTGGGAGGATGTCTCGAGAGAGGCGCTGGTGCTCGCACCCCTGGTGGCCCAAATCGCGAGGATGTCTCGAACGGCTTGCATGTTTTGCTGGCCAGACTCGTGGGCACGGATCCTCCTCAGGATGCCCCAGGAAGCTCCAGCAGGCTCCAGGCGGCCCCAGGAAGCCACAGGAGGCCCCAGGAGGCCCCAGCACCCAGAGGCCCCAGGAGACCACAGGAGGCCACAGGAGCTCTCACGAGGCATCAGGAGGGCACACGAGGCCCCACCCCAGGAGGCCCCAGGAGGCAGCAGGAGGCCCCAGGAGGCCCCAGGAGGCCCCAGGAGGCCCCAGGAGGCCACAGGAGGATCCTCCTCAGGATGCCCCGGGAGGCTCCAGCAGACTCAAGGAGGCCCCAGGAGGCCACAGGAGGTCACAGGAGGCATCAGGAGGCAACACGAGGCCACAGGACGCCCAAGGAGGCCACGGGAGACGCCAGGAGGCCCCAAGAGGCTCCAGGAGGCCCCAGGAAGCACCAGGAGGCAACAGCAGGCCACAGGAGGCGACAGGAGGCCTTCCCCTGCGTATACATTCCTAAATGTTTTACGTATGTTCCTATGCATTGGGCCTCCCCTGGGGCACGAGTCCTTGGTGTTTTACGCGTGTTCCTATAGATTGCCCCTCTCCTGTGGCTCCAATCCTGATTAGGTGTTTTACGTCTATAGATTGGGCGTGTTCATACAAGTTGCCCTTCTACTGTGGCTCCAATCCTGATTAGGTGTTTTACGTTATATATTAAATCCCTCCTGGGGCACAAATCCTCCACAGGAGGCCCCAGAAGGTCCCAGGAGGCCCCAGGAGGCCCCAGGAGGCCACAGGAGGATCCCCCTCAGGATGCCCCAGGAGGCTCCAGCAGACTCAAGGAGGCCCCAGGAGGCCACAGGAGGTCACAGGAGACATCAGGAGGCCACACGAGGCCACAGCACGCCCAAGGAGGCCACGGGAGACGCGGGGAGGCCCCAAGAGGCTCCAGGAGGCCCCAGGAAGCAAAGAGGCAACAGGAGGCCACAGGAGGCCAATGAAAGCGCCAGGAGGCTCCAGCAGACTCAAGGAGGCCCCAGGAGGCCACAGGAGGTCACAGGAGGCATTAGGAGGCCACAAGAGGCCACAGGAGGCCCAAGGAGGCCACGGGAGACGCCAGGAAGCCCCAAGAGGCTCCAGGAGGCCCCAGGAAGCACCAGGAGACAACAGGAGGTCACAGGAGGCCTCAGGAGGCCACAGGAAGCGCCAGGAAACACCAGGAGGCACCGGAAGGCCCCAGGAGCCCCCACAAGGCCCCAGGAGCAGGAGGCCTCAGAAAGCCACAGGGGTGGCTCCAAGGTTCCAATCCCCGGTGCTTTACGATATGTTCCTATAGGTTGAGCTCAAGTACGAGTCCTTAGTGCTTTTCGTATGTTTCTGTACATTGTCCTTCCCCTGCGTATCCATTCCTAAATGTTTTACGTATGTTCCTATAGATTCGGCCTCCCCTGGGGCACGAGTCCTTGGTGTTTTACACGTGTTCCTATAGATTGCCCCTCTCCTGTGGCTCCAATCCCAAGAGGCTCCAGCAGGCCCAAGGAGGCCCCAGGAAGCCACAGGAGGTCCCAGGAGGCATCAGGAGGCCACAAGAGGCCACAGGACGCCCCTGCAGGCCACAGGAGGCCCCAGGAGGCCCCAAGAGGCTCCAGGAGGCCCCAGGAAGCACCAGGAGGCCCCAGAAGGACACAGGAGGCGACAGGAGGCCAAAGGAAGCGCAAGGAGGCACCAGGCCCCAGGAGCCCCCACGAGGCCCCAGGAGCAGGAGCCCTCAGAAGGCCACAGGAGTGGCTCCAATCCCTGGTTTTCACGTATGTTCCTATAGAGTGGGCCTCCTCTGGAGTACGAATCCTTCGTGTTTTTCGTATGTGTCTATACATTGTCCTTCCCCTGCGTATACATTCCTAAATGTTTTACGTATGTTCCTATGCATTGGGCCTCCCCTGGAGCACGAGTCCTTGGTGTTTTACGCGTGTTCCTATAGATTGCCCCTCTCCTGTGGCTCCAATCCTGATTAGGTGTTTTACGTCTATAGATTGGGCGTGTTCATACAAATTGCCATTCTACTGTGGCTCAAATTCTAATTAGGTGTTTTACGTCTATAGATTAAATCCCTCCTGGGGCACAAATCCTCCCCAGGAGGCCCCAGGAGGCTCCAAGAGGCTCCTGGAGGCTCCAGGAGGCCACACGAGGCCCCAGGAGGCCTCAGGAGACAACAGGAATTCACAAGAGGCCCCAGGAGGCCCCAAGAGGCTTCAGGAGGCCCCAGGAAGCCCCAGGTGGTTTCAAGAAGCCCCAGGAGGCCCCAGGCTCATGCGCAGAGACGCACTCATACTACTGAGACTTATTCACACTCCAGCTCATTCACAATCATGTTCACTCACAGGCCGTCATTACCCAATCCCGTTTATATGTTCGAAACCTCTTGCGTCTAGACACTCACGGCGGACAGGTCCATGCTAATAGATGCACATATGGGGAGCTCCACATGCAGCAGACAATGTCTGCGGTGCGAGCGGAAATGGGCCACCCTGCCATTTGCGGGTGTATCCCACTGTTACATCACACTTCTGCATAGCTACGCGCCTCGCAGCATGGATACACAACGTGCAGCAGGCAATGCCTGCAGTGCGAGAGGGAATGGTGCCCCCCGCTGTTTGCGGGTGCATACCCACTCTGCCCTCACGGCTTGTGCAGCAACGCTACGCGCCAACTCGTGAAAGCAGGTCACGAACAAGCAGCGGAAGCGCAATGTCGCGAGAAGAAGAGAGTGAGGGGGAAGGGCGATAAAAGAAGAGACGGGGATGTAGGGTTCAGCCTAGGCAAGCCACTACAAGCGCGCTACAAAGGAAAGATAATCAGACTGGCGCGTGAAACCAAAAAAACTAACTGTGAGACGGATGATGAAAAGAAACGGCAACCTAATGGCCCCCAATTCCGAAACTACCCGTCACCAAAGTGGTCTCTACTAAAATGCCAGCTCTGGGTAGGTTGCACTGCCTGGCGAGGACAGAGGCGGAAAGAATAGGAGAGGCACGTGCAACTCGATACTGCTCTGGCCGCGGTGAAACTCTGGCCCGATGATGATTCAGGAGCACCTGGCAATGCCAGCTCGCTCGACTGGATGGTAAAACCATGATATGACGGGCGCCCGTCTGCAGACGCTGCAGGTTCTGGAGAGAAACCCCTGCAGTTCGATCAAGCCCATCGTGGAGGAGAGGGAACAGGAGAAGGAGGAGGAAGAGGCGGAGGAGGAGGAGGAGGAGGTGGAGGAGGCGGAGGCGGAGGAGGCAGGAGGAGCAGGGAGGGCAGGAGGAGGGGAGAAGGAAGATAGGGGCGGGGGAGCATAGGGCGGGGCGGAGGAGACCCGAGGCCTCCAGCATCGACAGAGATGCCCTCCCGGGAGGGGTCCGGGGGCTCGGGGGTCGGCCACTGGGCCGCCTGACGCCGAAACCTGTTGCGCTCGGCTACCAGGGGGTGAGGGAGGAGGGAGGACAGCAGAACACCCCTAGGACAGCAGGGGGCGCTGGATATGGACATAGTTGCGCACCAGGGGGCCCGAAGCTATCCATATCCACCGCCTCCCAAGTCCTCATCCACTGCCTCCCGAAATCTCATTCCCTCCTTCCGTTAGATCCCGAGCAGATGGAGGCGGAGGATCGCGCCGCATCGCCAAAGCATCCGTGATACATCGGCGCCGCATCGCCCCTGCACCGGCGGCCTCAGCGCGCAGGAAGCCAGGCTCCACATCGAGCCGCATCGCCGACGCATCGCCGACGCATCGCCTCCGACCCCACCCCCTCGGACCCCCGTTTGGGAGAAGAGCTCTCGAGCAGCCAAGGAGGGAATCCCTTGTGCGCAGACATGCCGAGGCTCTGCCTCTTCACATCATCGGCGGCGGGGGAGGTGGAGGAGGGGGAGGAGGAGGAGGAGGAGGAGGAGGAGGAGGAGGAGGAGGAGGAGGAGGAGGAGGAGACGGAGGAGGAGGAGGAGGAGGAGGACGAGGGGGACGAGAAGGAGGACGAGGGAGGAGGAGGAGGAGGTGGTGGCTGGCCGCAGGTCTGGCGGTGCGTCCCAAGCGACAGCTCGGGCAGGACGGGGGCCTGGGGGGGGGGGCAGGTATATCCAGTAGCCCCAAATGTCTCCAAAAACAACCCGCGACGTACCCAGCCTATCTGCAATCAGGGGCCGTTGACGAGAGACCAGCACACGCTCGAACATACAGGGAGGAAGAGGAAGGGAGAAGGGCTGGGCGATGAGGGCGTTGTAGCTATGGGCGCGGGCCGTCGGACCTCGAAGGGGGCTCCCGTTCGAGCGGGGACCCCTAATCTGACAAGACACACCCGTAGCCCCCACGGAATTCCATCCCAAGAAATCTGAGCGTCGCATAGGTACGGGTGCCAGCTGTCAGCCCATGAACCATGCTACCATAGTAAGGAATACAATGCGCACTGAAAACTACATGAGAGTCTTACGTGTTCAACGATTCACAAGGACATTCACAATGATGCAGCATCCTCGGATCTGTCAGCGCAGCGGTGTCATGCGTATGACACCTCTGCGCTGAGCCCCCACGGGCCCACGAAAGTGGCGACGGTTTCGCAGGTGGCAGCACACCCGGGGAGCCGCGAAGTCTAAGCTGGATACGCGTGGGACACCACTAGGCCAGGACTTCCACGAGCCCAGCAAAATGACGACAGGCGCACAAGTCGCAGCCCCCAAGGGAGCTGCGAGGTCTAGTCTGGATACGCGTAGGATGCCGCGAGGGAAGAGGGAATGCAAGGGGAAGGAACCGTGAGCACCTCGACAAAAGGCAGGTCAAACGGTCTGAGCAGACTCGACAGGTTATATCAGTCGTGGAAACAGCGCGGCTGCTCCTATTCACATCATAGGTGGCTGGGGAGCGGTGGCGGACCACAATGGCGGCTCATGGTCCCAATCCCACGAGTCAGATAAGTGCGTACCGCAGCAAATCTGGCTGGAAGCCGCTGCATTGGCTGCGGGCTTCAAAGGAAACATGGTCAAGACTAGCGAAGAACAGCCTGACGTCGAATGGTAATGCGATGTCAAGTGGCATATGGCCAACCTAACGGTCTGAAAAATCATGTAGTGTGATTTAAAAAGCCGACTTGAACGTGCACCAATCGTTCCCACGTTGTCCACATCACAAGCCAAATGAATGCAAAGCCATTTCCTCCTGTCCGATCCCCCCCCCCACACACACAGACACCCTTCCAAAAAGCGTGTTGCTACCCCTGCCTGGCGTGACGCCAGGCTTCAGGCTGAAAGCCATAGGCGTGGCCCTGCTTTACGGACTCCGCGGAGGAGGGACCACCTAGCGCCACCGGCCGGAGCTCCTGGCCTGGCGTGGCCTTGCTGCGGGGTGGCTCCGCTTTGGGAGCAGACACAGCGCCACAAGCCCAGCATGGGAGCTAAAGAGAGAAGAAGGAACGGGGGAGGGAATGGAGGGGAGCAAAGAAGAGAGAAAGAGCCAAGACGTGCTCAAAATGACGGCTGCACCATGCCCGTCACCGCTGCAACGTCTGGAATTCGAAAACACACCCCTGGCGAACTCGAGCAGGGGGTGCCGGGGGTTAACCCTGGCCCGTATCCTTCTCCCCCTCCCCCTCCCCCTCCTCGTCCTCCTCCTTCTCCTCCTCCTCCTCCTCCTCCTCCTTCTCCTCCTCCTCCTCCTCCTCCTCCTCCTCCTCCTCCTCCTCCTCCTCCTCCTCCTCCTCCTCCTGCTCAAGGCCACGAGGCTGGCCGCTTGCTCCCGCGCTCCCTCACGCAATGCCCGCCGACTCCGCCTCCGCCCTCTTGGCCGTTCGCCGGCCAGGGCCGTTCTCGAAGCCCTGCACGCAGACGAGGACGCCGCTGACTCGCTGCTCCCCGCCCGCCGCAAGCGCCCTCTTTGCAGACCCTGGCGACCCCATGACGACGAAGCCCAGATTGCCGGGGCGGCTCTGGCGGCGATTCCGCACGACCGACACCTGGGAGACAGGCCCGTGCACGGAGAAGTGCTCCAGGAGCGCCCGCTCGGTCTGCCACCCAAGCTTGTAGAGGCGGCGAACGACCAGGAGGCAGGACGGGTCCTCTTGGCACGAGGCCGACGGGTCCTGAGGGCAACCGGCCCTGGGACCTCGGGGCCTCACGCAGGGCCAGCTTCTCAGCCCGAGCCGTTTCCAAACAGTCCCGGAACCCATGGCGGGCTCAGGGAGACCAAAAACAGCGATGAGAACCTCAGAGCCCGTCCCCCTCAGGACCCGCCGACTTCGTGCCGATCCTCGCCAGACGCGGCCTGGAGGCAGCCAGACAGGTTCCTGTGCGACGGCTCGGGCGCCAGCTGCGCCGGCGGCGCCCCGCCCTCACCCGACGCAGGGGCGCCCGCGCACGCCGCGGGCTCTCCTGCCGGCGCTGGCGCATGAAAGGACCCCGGCGGCAGGCCACTGGTCGCAGGCGGGGCGGCCTCCGGGGGGGCGGGCGGCGCAGGCTGGCCGAGCGCGTAGCCGGCAGAGGCGGCGGGGCCGCCGCGCAGGCCGCCGCCGGGGTTGCCGCAGCCCTCCGCGGCGGCGCCCGGGCAGCCCCACGCGCCGAGGGCCGCGCGGAGGCAGAGCCGCGGCGCTGCGCCCGAGCGCGCGGCGTGGAGGGGCGGCTCCGCGAGCACGGCCGCTGCGGCTGGCAGTGGGGGGGCCGCGTGCGGCCAGGCGGACGTCGCTGTCTTGGCGGCGGGCGCGGGGGCGCCTGCTGCCCGCGGGCCTGCCCACGAGCCGGGCGGGGAGAGGCCAGGCGGCAGGCGGAGCATCAGGGAGCGGTCCTGGCCGCGGGCTCCATGAGAGTCAGTGCTTTCCGTGACGGGGCCCATGTGGCCGCCTGGACTCGGCGGAGCTCCGCGTGACCGAAGCCGAGCTCCCCCGGAGTGGTCGCCTCCCGAGGCCCTCTCCGCGAGCCAAGCTGCTCGAGCGCAAACGGCTGGAAAGTCTCAAGAGTGGTTATGGTCGTACCAGCCCTACACACTCGGTCGTCGCTGGCGACGAGGAGGGCCGACAGAAGAGTCCTGACACGAGAAGCATGGGCCCAGGGACTGCTCAATTCAATGAAGTTCCGGGCAAGGCAGGGCCGATGGAACGACACTGTGCCCCACCCTCGCCCCCACCCTCGCCAAACATGACGGTCCTGCCCGATGAAACAACGATTACCTTGCGACGTGCCCAACTCATCTACAACGAGTGACCGCAACAGTGGGCCGAAAAATCAACTGGTGATGCATGGCAAGGAGCGGCACGCACTGCGAAAGCTGACTGGGAACCCCGCCCTTGGCACGACTCCTGGGAGAGGGCCGCAGGGCGCTGCTGCCCTGCCTCAAAGGCAGGGGCGACAGCTGCGACCTCGGCAACCTCACAAGGAGCCGCGAGGTCTCGCCTGGATCCGCGCCAGGCATCACCTTCCAGGAGCCCACAAAAGTGGTGACAATGGCGCAGTTCACAGCCCCCCAGGGAGCCGCGAGGTCTCGCCTGGATCTGCGTGGCCCTCTACTCCGCCGTGCAGTCCAAGAACGCACGTGGCGACAACTGCGCAGTTCGCCGCCCCCGAAAGAGCCGCGAGGTCTCGCCTGGATCTGCTGTGGCCCTGCAAACCGCCGTGCCTCCCAGGAACCAGCAAAAAGAGCGACAGTTGCACAGTTTGAAGCCCCGCGGGGAGCCGCGAGGTCTCGCCTGGATCTGCGTGGCCCTCCACCCCGCCGTGCCTTCCAAGAGCCAACAATAGCAACAATAATTGCGCAATTCGCAGCCCCCAGTAGAGCCGCGGTGTCTCGCAGGGATCTCCCTGACTACCCACTCCGCAGGACCTCCCGAGAGCCCACGAAGCTGGTGACAGTTGCGCACTTCGCTGAAGAGGGGGAGAGGGAGGGGAGGAAAAGGAGGAGGAAGACGAGGAGGAGGAGGGGGAGGAGGAGAAGGAGGAGGAGGAGGAGGAGGAGGAGGGGGAGGAGGACGAGGAGGAGGAGGAAGAGGAGGATGAGGAGGAAAGTTGGAGCCATCAGCGCTCTAGTCAAAGCGAAGACCCAACCAGAGAAGGGGTTGGGAATACAGCAGGACGCAGAAGGAGGTACGGGACGAAAAGGAGAATGAGGAGAAGGAGGAGGAACGCGAGCAGCTCTAGATTTAAAACGAGAACGCAATACAAAAGGGTTGGGGATGAAGAAGGATGCAGGAGGGTTTGCAGGAGGTGGGAAGCAAGAGGAGGAAGTGAGGATAGAGTTGCGACCGCAGTGCTCTGGCCAAAACGAAAACCGAACCAGGGGAAGGGTTGAGAAATGTGTGAAATCGCAGAGAAAATAAGACCAACGAATGGATCGCTCCTGGCGCTCAATGACAGTACCGGCGGCCACCGAAGCTGACGCGAGACGGCCAACTGAAGAACAACCCTACACAATCATCCACGAAGAACTGCCCATATTGAAAAGCGTCGACGCTCTAGCATCCTAGGAGAAGGAGGGGTATCGAACAAGGGACTATGCATTGCTGAAAAATACAACGGACACATTAACGGAACGCTATGCCGCCCTCCCAACTTTCATCCCCGAAATCTCGCCCCCCTGTCCAGCGCTGAATGGAAAAAAACACCGAAATTGCGGTGATCCCAGCCCCGCGTAATTACCGTGAAAGCCCGTTTCAAACTACACAAAATTACCCTGGCGAAGAATCCAATCCATTATACGGACATGGAAACGACCAACATGACTGATCTATGCACAAGAACTGGTTAGGGAGCTCCGCAAAGCGACTCGGTGGACGCGCCCATGGGGCTACGAAACGTGAGGGATCTGCCACATGGGGTGCATACCCATGTGAACCCTGCCACTGGGGCCCTCGGTGGAGCCCCCTATGGGGCCACGAAACGTGTGAGGGGTCTGCCAAAATGGGGTGGATACCCATGTGAAGCCTGCCACTAGGGCCCTCGGTGGAGCCCCCTATGGGGCCACGAAACGTATGAGGGGTCTGCCGACACGGACGTGTACCATGTGAACCCTGCCACTGGGGCCCTCGGTGAAGCTCCCTATGGGCCACCGAACGTGTAAGACCCTGCCACTGGGGCCCTCGGTGAAGATGCATATGGTGCTACGAAACATGCTAGGGGTCTACCGAAGTGGGGCGGGTACTCATGTGAACCCTGCCACTGGGGCCGTCGGTGGACCCCCCTATGGGGCCACGAAACGTGTGAGGAGTCTGCCGACATGGAGCGTGTACCCATGTGAACCCCGCCACTGGGGCTCTCGGTGAAGCTCCCGATGGGGCCACGAAACGTGTGAATGGTCTGCAAAACTGGGGCGGGTATCCATGTGAACCCGGCCACTGGGTCCATCGGTGGAGCTGCCTGTGGGGCCACGAAACGTGTGAGGGGTCTGCCGACATGGGGCGGGCACCCATGTGAACCCTGCCATTGGGGCCCTCGGTGGCGCTCCCTAGAAGGCCACTAAACGTATGAGGGGTATGCCAATATGGGGCTGGTTCTCATGTGAACCCTCCCACTTGGACCCTCGGTGGCGCCCCCTATAAGGCCACGAAGCGTGTGAGGGGTCTGCCGACATGGGGAGGGGGCTCATGTGAACCCTGCCACTGGGGCCTCGGTGGAGCTGCCTATGGGGCAACGAAGCGTGTGAGGAGTCTGCCGACATGGACGTGTACCCCTGTGAACCCTGCCACTGGGGGCCTCGGTGGAGCTCCACATGGATCCACGAAACGTGTGAGGGGTCTGCCGACATGGACGTGTACTGATGTGAACCCTGCCACTGGGGCCCTCGGTGGAACTGCCTATGGGGCCTCGAAACGTGTGAGGGGTGTTCCAAAATGAGGCGGGTACTCATGTGAACCCTGCCACTGGGGCCGTCGGTAGAACTGTCCATGGGGCCACGAAGCGTGTGAGGGGTATGATGACATGAGGCGGGTACCCATGGGAACCCTGCCACTGGGGCCCTCGGTGGAACTGCCTATGGGGCCCCGAAACGTGTGAGGGGTGTTCCCAACTGGAGCGGGTATTCATGTGAACCCTGCCTCTGGGGTCCTCGGTGTACCCCTCTAAGAGGCATGTGAACCCTGCCACTGGGGCCCTCGGAGGAGCCCCCTCTGAAGCTACGAAGCGTGTAAGGGGTCTGCCGAAATCGGGCGGGTACCCATGTGAAACCTGCCACTGGAGCCTTTGGCAGAGCTCCCGATGGGGCCACGAAACGTGTGAGGGGCCTGCCGAAATGAGGCGGCTACTCATGTGAACCCTGCCACTGGGGCCGTCGGTGGAACTGTCTATGGGGCCACGAAGCGTGTGAGGGGTCTGCCGAAATGCGAAAAGGCCAAAAGAGAGGAGGAGGAGGAGGAGGAGGAGGAGGAGGAGGAGGAGGAGGAGGAGGAGGCCTCCTGCACTGCTAGAGCCGTCGCTGGGGCCTTCGGTGGAGCTCCCTGGGTGGGTACCAACTGTGTGAGGGGTGTGAAGGAGAAGGAGAGGAGAAGACGCGCAGCGCTGCGAATTCAAAACGAGGACCCAACTCCACAGGAGGGTTCGGCGGGAAACCAAACAGAAACTACATTCTTGAAGGACCACGAGGGGTTCTTGAGTCGACGCCGGCCCCACTCCCCCAGGCACGCGAGGCGCCCCAAAGGCCGATTCGTGTTTGAGGTGTTTGTGGCCTCGATGTCACACCAAAGAATAATGTTCGGATGATGACAAAGGACAACCTGCTGAATGGAGAAAGCATGTCGCCTGGAACCTGCGCAACTGGTGACAGGCTGGCGGCGACTGCGTCCCCTGGAGTCGATTAGATGAAGATTACCCTTTTGCCTTCCCTTTTGGTTTGCGGGAAACTGCCTGACCCAAATTCAAAAATGGCTCGGAAAGAAAATCTGCCCCCCTCCTCCCTCGAAAATGTTGCCCGCTGTTGGCTCACGAAGAACCCTTGACCCCAAACGCGCAGAAAAATGACCGCTCTCGTGCTCATTAAACAAGCACTGCAGCGCGCGAGAACAGTGCGAATTCATTCCGCCGCCAGCTGACTCTACCAGATTTGCGCGGGCGTCCCCCGAGAGGCGCACACAGGCAACCACATGTGAACTTTTTCGCGGGGGACGGCGGCTGCGGCGTGATAACACCTCAGGATGCATGGTCCTTGAACTACCTCGCGATGCCTACAAGCAAGGAGCTGTGCCAAAAGCACGACAGCCACACTTGGCGCGGCAAAGGCAATCCGTTCGCGCGGCCGAACGAGACCGGGACACGGAGTCGCGAATTGATCCGCACGCGGGAGCGGCCAGGCTGAAAGGCAGCCCCTGGCAGCTGTCGCGGGGCGGCATCACGATGCACCCAGGGGCGGGGCCAGCAGCCGCAGACACACACACACACACACACACACACACACACAGTAGTCTATGATCCTCACACGTTCGCCCGACAGCACGGACCCTACCAGCACGCAAGTGTTTGTGAGCGCCGCAATACGTCTGCGAGCACCATCCCACGCCTGTGAGCGGTTTTCGGACATAACCGTTACGGTCGGAGAACGCGCGACTGGGTTACGCCGAGAAACGATGCGATGCGACCCGCGTTCTGGCCCCTCTGGGGCGGTTTTCGAGTAAGAGAGCAAGCGAATGGGACACGCAGTCCTTCAACTAAAGTGAATACGGAAAAGAAGAAAATATTGACGCAACTATGAAAACGATCATCACAAAAGAGCCGTGCCCACTGTCCTGCAACGTATGCTGGGAAGTCCGAGAGGTGGAAGAGGTGGAGCAAGAGGAGCAGGAGGGAGCGGAGGAGGAGGATACCAAGGGGAGCGGACGGGTTGAGGGAGGATGGAAGAGGAGCGAGGAGGAAGGAGGAGGAGGGAGAAGGAGGAGGAGCAGGAGCAGGAGGAGGAGATAGGAAATCCCCAATGTGATTGTCCAACCGTGCCACTGGCATGCCGGCGGGACAACGGACACCTTCGATAGTTAGCACCGACTCCCGGTCCCTTCCCTAGTCGCGTTACGCCAGGAAGGATGCACAAACGAA